GGCCACTGTTTTTGCCCTAGGACTGCTCATGGCAAATGGAACACCTGTGATTTAGCAAGCCACCTCAAACATCCTCAGTATTACTTGAGGGAAAGCATATAATTTTTTAATCTAAATTCACAAACTACTTCACTCAAAGCTGATGGGTTTTAGTAACACAAGAGGTCATGATTAATGTGAGCACCTAGACATACTGTAAAATATATCAGACAAATGTTAGAAGAAACAAATAAGAGGTCTTGAGGTCTCAGAATGTGAGTGTGTGTGTGCTGTTAGAAAGCTAATGTAGCCATGTTGATCCATAAGGAAAAATCTCCAAAGCCTGTAGTTGGATAACAGCTTTATTAAGACCCACCAGTGTCAGGAGCATCCTACACACGAGTAGGACTCTGATAGAGACACGTGCCCCACTGGCATGTTCTCTCCCTCCTGGTCGTTCGTTTGGGAGCTTCAAAAGCTTTCTCCAGCCCGAACATCACTGCGACTGATACCTCTGAGATGCATCAGCACACTTCAGGATTCTCCAGAGTATTGGCAGTTCGCGTGACAGACTCAGCAGTACAGCATTTTGACTAAACTACTTTATTTACAGAGAATACATTCAGAGCATTCTGACTTAGCTCCTTCCTCTTTCTCATCAGACAGCAAAGAGAAAGAACAAAGGACAATAATCCTACAGTAATACAAACATCCTGTCTCCGTCACTTCCCACTATGTTAAGGTTACCAGACGTCCCCGTTTCCCGGGGACAGTCCCCGGATTTACAAATCAGTCCCCATACAAAATCCATTGAAATTGAAAAGTGTCCCTGGATTCATTGAAAAAAATCTGGTAACCTTACACTATGTGGAATGAAAACATATACCATCATGTGATAAAAAATAATTCCATGACTGCAAGCACGGGACAAGAATCCTAACATTCGTGTACCGAGTTGTAGTCATCAGTGTAACCGAAACAAACATACAGATGTTATACACACAGTATACCCCTGCATACCCATGATGCCTGATGAAGAGTTATTGAGAGTTTCCCACATTTACTTTTTACTTTTCGGTTGGTTCTAATAAAGTGTTACCCAAATGTGGGCTTTGGAGCTTTTTTGCTGCTGTAACGCAGGGACAACCAAAGTGGGACCTTCCAGATGTTATTGGACTCCAACTCCCAACAACCTCAGGCACCAGGCCCAAAGGTCGGGGATGAGTCTACTAATATCTGGAGGAAACCATGTTGGCTACTCCTGCTATAAATGAATAAAATATGTTGTGCCCCTTGTGCTATTGCTTCTGATTTTCCTAATCTGATAATTCAACACCAGGGAAACAATACTTTGGTGTGCAGGCCCTGTTGGCTGTGCCATCTGTAGCATAAGATAGGGAGGCGGTGACACAATATGGGCCTTCTTGGTGGAGATGCACCAATCACAGAACTCCTTCCTGGGGAATATCAAGTCTATCTTCACTGTTGATATTTTGAAGTCCAGGCATTTGGATAATTAAAGCTGTAGGATTTGGGGGTTGTGGTTATGTGGGCTGCTGTTGCTGGATTTTATCTGGATTATTATTTGTTAATATATAATGGCTTTGGTCTTTATGTTATGCCATCCTGTGTTCCAGATTGGAGGAAAGATGGGATATAAACACAGTAAACAAATAAGCAAGCAAGCAAACATAATGTGATATGAAACACAATGGCTACTTTTCTTGGCCTCCCTAAATGTCTCCATTCATCAATGTCCAACTAGCACAGCTATTTCTATTAGAAGATAGTGTATGTATAGTATGTTGAGAAGTATAGCTAGCAAACATGATCAGGATAGTATAGGCGGCAGCCACCTCATTTACTTTGAGTTTATAAAAACAACTCTGTCTGCATACAAAAGTAAGTATTTAATCACACATAATTAGTAAGCAAAGATGTATCTTAGGAGAGGTAGCCACAAATATAATTACTAGTGACTGCTACCTTGGAAAACATGTATACCATATATGCAATTTCAGTGAATTGATGCCTATATATAAGTCCACTTGTAATCAGATTTCACTTGTCTATAGGTTTTTAATTGTTCTCTTCTATCATTTTCTTCCAGACTGCTTGAAATTGTTTTGTGATGTGATAAGAACACAAGGTGGGGAGTAGAAGGGGGGTGGGTGGATTGTAAACCTGAATGTTTAAAATCTTCTCATTTTTAACACTCAAAGAAGAGACGACTTACAGGTTTGTAATGCAAGCACAGGGATGACAAGCTTTAAAGGCATCATATGAGACAGAATGGTAATCATAGTTCTCTAGTTGGAGGGCCTGTTATTTCCACCTGTCATAAGAACTCAGTGGAAATTGGCTGTTATCTTATGATGGGCACAATTCCCTTCTGTACTCATCACATTAAGCAAACAGCTTATATCTGATTTTTTAAAAACAAACAAACCATACTTGGCAATTTAGGCACTAAAAGTTTTGAAATTTGGTGCTGTAGCAGGAGCGGGGGGAGCCAATAGGCGAATCAATGAGAAAACAATATTTATTTCTCTCCCAAAACTCCACCCATCATCTCTTTTATTGTTTTAAAGCATGCAGATTGTGGTTGATGGTTCTTGCAGACCAAAACATCTGGAGAGTACAAGGTTGGGGGTCTTAGACAATTCTCAGAGCCATGTTGTTCTGTAAGATCACAGCTTTAGAGTGATCATGCCTCTTGAATTGATATAAAACTGGTGATGGGTGACTGGAGTTTTAGGATTAGGTGGAGGGTTCTCAATCACAGTAGAGTTTTTGTGCAGCTCCCATTCTTTTAAATGGATATTAGGGCCAAAGTTTATTCGAGAATTCAGTGATGGGAATTCCTATCTTCCTTCTTTCTCACAAAGTAGCAGTGTATGTTTGTGGGAGAAGTTGGTCCATGTGGTCAGAGTATGTGTGCTGGATGCTACCCTTTGTACCACAATGCAACCAAAATTCAAATATTCCTCCAAAGCTGGATTCAGCCACGGACGGAAATGCCTACAGTCCCATATTCATGGAGCTCACACATAACATCTAGTTTGGTGCTAAAGATGCAGGAACTTTCCAGTGAGTTGTGCCCATAACGAAGTCTCAGGACCTTCCCAATGAGTTGTGCCCATAACGAAGTCTCAAGTAGCCTCTCTTTGCTAGGCTCTATGCTAGCACCAACATCTGCAATATACTCTAGAAATATTATCTGAGTAAATTAATCATTCCTGGAATCTTTGCACCAATGAACAAACATGTCCATTCATACTAAGAGCATCATATTTAATGTCCAGTTTATTTTAATCATATACTGTAACTTTTAAAAATATGTTGGTTTTTCTTTGCACAAACTGGCAACAAGAGATAATAATTTAGCATTAAACAGACTGATGAAAGTGGAATCTTAATGATCCCCTCTCTCTCTTAAACTCATTGTTTCTCTTCTATTGTGTTGAGATGAATGATGGGAGTAACAGAAAGGTAGAAGCAAACCAGGATTTCTGAAAGCAGTGTCAGAAATAACTGAGTGGAACTGCTACAACATGCCAGGCCTGGGACACAACAATACAGGAGAGTGATTGGAATCACTAAATGCAGGCACTGTGCCTGCTTCAAGAAATGTTGCCTTCATTTATACCTGATCATCTTAAGGCAGAAACAGGAAACCTCTAACCCTCCAGATGTTCCATCATCCCTGACTGTAGCATTGGCAGCAGGAACACCTGGAGGGCCAGGGAAAGCAAAATAAAGGACATCTGCAACCAGCAGCCCTTTTGCTGACACCACCTTTCAGGGGAGCAGAACAAAAATCACAGCAATCACGTCAGACTGGATGAGAAAGCCAGCTGCCACAAAGACTGAAACTATCTAGCTGCTAAGCGTATGCCTGGAAGCCTATCTCAGGAGTGTGTGTTTTTGTGTGTTTGTGAATTCTCTGTGGCCATTGCTGCAGAGCTGGTCAAAGAGGAATATAGGCATGGGGATTGGGGATTGGGCAGTGTTTGAGAGTTATAAAAGCCAGGGAGCCAATGATACCACCTGACTAGAACAGAAGCAGAAATACCTTTTGAACTGGGGACAGCACTCTGAAGGACATTTGCTTCCCAGGATCTCCCTTAGCTGCCACAAGCATCAGGGCTGGGGAGAGGATTTCAGCTGTCACTGGTCATCCATTAGCTGCTATCCATCTAATAACTGGGAATCATGGCTAGTCCAGTTCCCAGACCAGCAATGGCAGTAGTATTGTCAGCAAAAATACAGTACTTGGTAGACTGGGGTGACAAGTTAGAAGAGCATCTGCCCCTAGGACTAACCAGCTTTCAGGGGAGCAGAGCCAAGGGCCCTATGATATCAATGATAATGCTCAATATTCCAGGTCTCTTATTGTCAGGGCAATATAATATGCTTATAAATCTGATTGTGAACTGCTTTGAGAGCCATTGTAACTGAAAAGTGGCATGCAAGTATTGCAAAGCAAAGAAATATCTGATCATTGGCCATACTAGCTGGGGCTTATGGAAGCCAAGAGATGTCTAGCAACACCTAGAAGGCCAGGGGCTCCCCACCCCTGCCTTAAGAAGGAGGGAAAGGCAAAGGGTGTGATTAATCAACCAGATGATAATTACGATGCAGTCCGAGTTTCAAGATGTTGTCAACTCCGTTCTAAGTTCTCTTTCATGTAACACAAATTCTAGGAACATGCATAGCAAACATGTTATACACCGTACCCAGTTATAAGAGATTCACATGGATCCTTAATCACTGCAGAGAACATTTTTAAGTTTCAATGATACACATTATCTCCGTAAAATATGCTGAGGTATAGATTTCAGGGTGATTCCACCCACACCCCCAGTAATGTTCTTTCTCCTCAAAAAGTATAACATTATACAGATTTTTCCCCCTACAATGTTAGATCACCATAACCATTTAGATACTCAGCAAATGACATATTACAATGACTTTGTCTACAGTCGATATGGCTAAAAATCAAGAGTTGGGTACAGTACCTTGGCTTTGTCTCTCATAGAACCCTTCCCCAGGATTGACATTTTTGCACCTGTTTCCTCTTGTAACCTTTTCAAGGAATTTCCTCTTGGTCCAAGCAATTTGCCCACAAAATTAAACTAAAAAATAAAACAGAATAGGGAGGGATGGAAGTTAGAAAATGTTGGTTTCTGGAAGTGCAGTACATATTGAGAAGCAATATATTGTAGATGGCATACTATTGAGAACAGAACAGCATCCTCAGTTTGCAAAGGATTTGCAGTTCCATGGATGTGCAAAGTGGCAAGAAGGATCATAATGTTTCCTTCCCAAGTCTGTTTTTTCCTCCTCAACTCCATATTCCAACTGCATTTCCCTACTTGATCACCAAAACCATTGCAGAACCATGATAAGGACAAAAGCGGGGTTGAGGGTTTCAGGGAATGTAAGATGTCATGGACCAACTGGTTGAAGAGGAGTGGTGGGAGGCACCAGCTGGGAACCCCCTGGGAACCCCCCAGGAGAAGAATGCTCTATCTTTCATATCTTCCAGAATATCTTCTAAACTGGTCTCATAAATTTGCTGAGTAGATATTAGCTTGTACAAGGGGAAGAACAAAATTAGATAGATCACCAGTACAAAATGATTATTATCCTAGATCTATGGTCAAACAGCTGCTAAATCAGTCACTTTACTATTTTTGTAAAAAAAATTATGGTAAATGCATTGCTGTTATAAATGTAACCCCTTTAATCCTACAAAAGCTAGAAGCCTGTCTTTAGGAACACAGGAAGCTTCCTTATACCAAGTCAGTACAGCATTGTCTGTACTGATTGGCAGTAGCTCTGCTGGCTTTCAGGCAAGGGCCTCTCACAGCCCTACCTAGAGATACCAAGAACTGAAGCTGAGATCTTCTGCAATCAAAGCATGTGCTCCATCACCAAGCCACAACCCTTCTCTTGAAGAGACTGGTGTGATATTTGACTATTTGACTATATCAACCACCGGGTGTTCTAGAGACAAACACAGATGCAGACAGCCCATATGATGGCCCAGTTCCATCAAACAGATGGCCAATGACTCTAAGCAAACATCTTTCAGAGTGCAAGACCATACAGATATAACAAGCTATTCCCTCTGTTTTCAGTCTAGTAATTTTCCATCGGAATTTGGTAATATGTGGCATGTAAATAAAGGAATTTAAAGAAATGTAAAAAAAAATTCTGGTTAAATAATAAAAACTGTGCTCCATTTTCAGTGCAGGGGAATATAATGAAGGCCTCCGGTGGGGGTTATGACTGCAATGTCTTTTCCTCTCTTACATATATTTATTATCTTACATATATTTATATGGAAATTTAGGTCCTCCTCCTGGTAGGTGCCATTATTGCATCACTTAAAAATGGCATTTTGAGCAGGACCTCCCCAGCATATCTCAAATATATAGAGAGAAGATGCTTCATGTGATATTCTGGACCCAAACCATTTGCTTACAGAAAGGACTTACTGAATAGAATGGATGATAGAGCATCCCAACCTATCTGATTAAAAAAGAAAGAAAAACTGGCACACATTCACATATGTTACATCTCCAAGAGGCCAAACTGTTGTTGTTGTTTGCTAAAGTTGAGCTGAGTTTTCACAAGTTTCCATTTTCACACCAGAACTTGCCCTTTGGCATTGTAGAACCTTTTGTACGATCAGTGGGCAAGGGGAAGAACAAAATTAGATAGATCACCAGTACAAAATGATTATTATCCTAGATCTATGGTCAAACAGCTGCTAAATCAGTCACTTTACTATTTTTGTAAAAAATATTATGGTAAATGCATTGCTGTTATAAATGTAACCCCTTTAATCCTACAAAAGCTAGAAGCCTGTCTTTAGGAACACAGGAAGCTTCCTTATACCAAGTCAGTACAGCATTGTCTGTACTGATTGGCAGTAGCTCTGCTGGCTTTCAGGCAAGGGCCTCTCACAGCCCTACCTAGAGATACCAAGAACTGAAGCTGAGATCTTCTGCAATCAAAGCATGTGCTCCATCACCAAGCCACAACCCTTCTCTTGAAGAGACTGGTGTGATATTTGACTATTTGACTATATCAACCACCGGGTGTTCTAGAGACAAACACAGATGCAGACAGCCCATATGATGGCCCAGTTCCATCAAACAGATGGCCAAACTCTAAGCAAACATCTTTCAGAGTGCAAGACCATACAGATATAACAAGCTATTCCCTCTGTTTTCAGTCTAGTAATTTTCCATCGGAATTTGGTAATATGTGGCATGTAAATAAAGGAATTTAAAGAAATGTAAAAAAAATTTCTGGTTAAATAATAAAAACTGTGCTCCATTTTCAGTGCAGGGGAATATAATGAAGGCCTCCGGTGGGGGTTATGACTGCAATGTCTTTTCCTCTCTTACATATATTTATTATTCTCTAAGTTTTAAAACAACACCACCACCAATGTTGCATTGTATAATTTGTGTGTGTGTGTTTATCTAGACAGATTGTAATCAGCTTTTGAAAAGCAACCGATTATGTGGCTGAGTGCATCTCTCAGGAGAGACACTCCACATCGATATGGAAATTTAGGTCCTCCTCCTGGTAGATGCCATTATTGCATCACTTAAAAATGGCATTTTGAGCAGTACCTCCCCAGCATATCTCAAATATATAGAGAGAAGATGCTTCATGTGATATTCTGGACCCAAACCATTTGCTTACAGAAAGGACTTACTGAATAGAATGGATGATAAGCATCCCAACCTAGCTGATTAAAAAAGAAAGAAAAACTGGCACATATTCACATATGTTACATCTCCAAGAGGCCAAACTGTTGTTGTTGTTTGCTAAAGTTGAGCTGAGTTTTCACAAGTTTCCATTTTCACACCAGAACTTGCCCTTTGGCATTGTAGAACCTTTTGTACGATCAGTGGGCAAATTATGCAAAGGGAAAAGAAAAAGGGGGGGGAGCAGCATATTGAGAAGCTGTTTATGCAAATGTCGTTCAGTCTCTAAGCTAGTTTCAAAGGTCTAAGCCCAGGGATTCTCCAGATATTACACAGCTCTTTTGAAAACATAACCAGCAGCTTCCAAGCCCTGTGCAGATACATTTGTTTTACATGCATCCAAAAAAGGAAAGTGAAACTGTTTTGTGTACTTTTCATTCAGTTGCACTTTTCCATATATAAATTCCTATTAAATTTTATCCAGTAATATTTCAATATAATTTATATACAGAAATGCACTCCATATTTAGCAAACATGCTAGAAAATTCTTTTGTGAATTCAGACATCAATCACATTGCCATATTGGAGATTGATTCACCAATGAAAGAAAACAGCACCATTCTATTTTAAGTCAAAGGAGATTGTTATGCTGCAAGGTCTATCAATGGTTTCATGAAACGTTCTTAATTACATGATCAGTCTGTATTATGTATTATATATAACCTGGCCAACATCCAAGTTGGAGGAGACTTAATTATTTCAGAAATTGTATATCAAAATCTAATTAAAGGATGCATTATAATTCACTGGAATTTTGATTTCATCATTAATAGCAATTATAATTAAGGCAGCACTTACATAGTAATTTGCATGTTCATAACGTAGTGCAAACATTAATTTTCTTATTCAAGTCATGTTCATATTCAAAGGAAAGTAGTTATTTTAATGTGACTGATGTGCCCATACTCATTAACATAGCTTTAAAGAGACAGCATTTATTTAAAAGCAGTTCTGTTTAATCTCAAGGCAATGTACAAAGTTTCATTTGCATGCCAAGGTCCCATGACCCCACAGTTCCCTAGTGAAAAAATAAAGCACCCGACAAGGGGATTTTCAGTAATTTTGCAGGGAAATGACCAGAAAATGGGCAAAGTCTGTTCAAATATATCCCACTTTCTGCTCAAAAGTATCCTGCTCCATCTCCAGATTTGCTCTGTAGATTTGGGGGACCCCCCCCCAGAACACATTTATGGGGCATTTGGGAAAGAAGAGAGGGATATTGTTCCACTGCATGAGGAGAAAACAATTTGCTTAGTACTATATGGTGTGCAACTCTATATACATAATTCATTTTTATTTTTTATTTAAATAAATTTATACATCACTTAAACAAAAGACATATATGCAGTTTACAAAAGTCTCTTAAGTAGCTTCTAAGTTAGAAGTTATAAATTAGCACCTGCAAATTCTTTGTACGGTGGTACCTCGGGTTACAAATGTTTCAGGTTACAAATGCTTTGGGTTACAAACTCCCCTAACCCAAAGTAGTTACCTCGGGTTGTGAACTTTCCCCCAGGATGAGAACAGAAATTGCGTGCCAGCAGCGCAGCAGCGGTGGGAGGCAGTATGCAAAAGCACACCTCATGTTAAGAACCGTTTCGGCTTAAGAACGGACCTCCGGAACAAATTAAGTTTGTAACCTGAGGTAGCACTGTAAATGGGTTCTCTTGTGTCCTCTTTTTTTGGAGATATGCAAGTGGCCACATTTACAAATAGAAAAGCTCAGATAAAGCCAAAGTATTTTCCAAAATGGGGAAATAACTTGATTTAAATGGAGTCAACATGAATCAGTTTTGTCCATGTCCCACTCACAACTGAACTACAGTGCGTAGGTTCATTGGCATGTGCTGTAGTCATTAGCACCAGAACAGGTGCAAAAAATAGAAGAGGCTTCCCCCTTGCCACTCCAGTCCCTGGAACATCACCACAGTGCAGGTCAACAGGTAGGAAGGGAGAGAGGCTGTGTGGCGATCACACAGGGTCCACGGACATTTAACGGTATATTGATCCCTGTGCCACCAATGTGCTTGCTTCCCCGCTGCCACCAACCCAAGTCCAGACAGCTGTTAAAATTGAACCAAATAAACAAGTTTATTTTATAAGCATTAACAAGTTTATGGTTTCTCAGATAATATTCTTGTCAGTTTCTTAACTTTAGTTTCTTTACTGGCCTATACCTTCCCAATACCTTCTGACTGATTATATCACCTGTTTGACTGACTCCTCTTAACAGATTCTCTCACTCTCTCACATCAGACTAGCCCAACCCTCTCTGTCCCTTCTCTAACTTCAGACTCACTTCTTAACCACCCTAACTCTAACTCCTCCCCTTGGGTTCCCATTG